GATATTTGAAATTATCATTACCGTCATGAAGACTACAATTACAGCAAGTACAAAAAGCATGAACGATTAGTTTGAAAGCGTTGAGTAGAGCAGCAAATTTATTTATGATGCAATGTCTTAAAAAAGACAAGAAAATATAATTTCTAATGTTATAAAAACTTTCTGCTGCAATATATAAGAAACACACTATATTGAATTCGATCAAATACAATTCCTCGATGTAAAACAAAAGTCAAAGTGTTAGCTCTAATATGTATAGAACGAAAGAGACAAGCAGTGTCACTGATGTTATGTGACAGAACGATGAAAAAGATGACCTTCATGGGAATCGAACCCATACCTCCTGCTATCCGGGCAGTTGTCCTAAGCCAATTAGACTAGAAGGCGCATCATAATCATCGTTTAGCGTTAGTGTGATCCATCACTAACGCTAACAGCACTCTTGAAAATCTCAAAGGATATAGCGATCCAGAGTTGGTTTTCCAGAGAGCCCCTAGAGATTTGATCCACAGTTTTTTGTCTCAATTAGATTTCATAATCAGATAGAACACAAAAATTTGTAGTGGTCTATATATGCCATCTATTGGATCAAGATTTTTTTATCTTACAGCATTATGTCGAAGAAGTCAAAAACCTTGCTTTCTGCTGGTTTTTTAGGTTTTTCGCCTAAAAAGATATCCATAACTAGGTTTTTAAGTGCTGTTTTTGCAGGATTCTCGTTATCGATATGATATCGAACATGGCTAAGTATGTTTTCAACTTTTTCATACGACTGACACACTGCTTGACAACGGTAAATGAAAATAGTATATATTAGCATCCTACAGTAAATTCTGTTTTTTCTCGATTAGAGTTCGTTCTTTTCAAAATTCAACCTGAAATTCGAAATTAGCGTTAAAAATTGCATCTGATGATGTATAACTCAATAGAATTTAAGAAAAAAAAAATCTCGACAACTCTGGGGTCCCCCACAGGTGTAAAAAACCAGGTGTAAAATGAAAAACATTTTTCTCCAGAAAAAAATACCTCATTTTACTTGGAATTTAATGCTGATTTCGAATATGTAATTATTTTTGCAAAATATTGGGGGCGAAAAAATGACCTTACCGCCACTTGTCCTTTTAAAGGATTTTTTGTTTAATTTCTCGTTTCACTATTTTAGATAATACGTGAAGCAAAAAATGAAACTGAAACTGAAACTAAAACAAGTACAACAAAAACTGAAATTACTACATTTTTACAATTATTTGAAAAACATCAAGGTAAAATTTTTCGAAAAACCAAAAATTAAGGCAAAATGCGAATTATATTCTATTTTTTTATTTTGTTTTAGGTCTTGCTCATTTTGAAGCACTTGAATTATTATCAGATCAATCATCAACTATTTTACAAACAATGAGTTATGGAAATGAAAAATTTCTTGAACAAATTGATAATTATTTTCAATTAGATGATGATGATTATGAAATAAATAATATCTTAGATTCATCAACAACATATGATGATAATAATGATAATAATCATATACCAAGTTTAGATATTTTATCACAAAAATTTACTGCATATCAAACACAATTACGTTCAACAGTATCCGTTGATAAATTACTTGAAGTTTATGAATCAGCTAATCAATTTCTAACTGAATGGGATTGGATGGATACAGAACTTGATCAAAAAGTAAAATGAAAAGAAAACAAAAAAATCAATGATATTTCTTTTGATTTCGATTTTTTGAAATTTTAGACATTAGCTGATGAAGCTATTGATTGTTTAGCTGTATTATGTGCACGTATTATTGAATATTATCGTAGAACAGCTGAATTATTTTTAATCGGTTGTAAAAGTTTAACATCATTTTCAATTGATATTGAATTATTAGCTATATATGAAAAACAACAAAAAGATTTTTCAAATATGCTTGCTGGTATACCAAATTTATTTGCTAAACATATGAAACAAATATCAAATGTATCATCAAATGGAAATGATATACCAATAAGATGTGATATTAAATTAAAAGAAAAACTTTTAAATCAAATGTTTATTCAATCATCTAGTTCACAAACATATGCTTCTGATGCATATGTTTTACTTAAACCTATTGTTAGTCAATCAATTTTATATCATACATCAACAACAAGATAGATATCATTTTGTTTGTTTTTTTTTCTTTTTTGTATTTTGAAGTATTCAATGTTCATAACAGTCAATTGAATATTGGTTTAATTTATCCATTTACATATATATATATTTATTATTTTTTTTCCTTTATTTTTTCTTTTATGTGTATATGAACAGCGAAATGATATATTATTTTATACCGGGGTTAAATATACTTGACAGTCTACGAAGAAAAAACGAAATTGGTTGAAATGATGAATTTAATAAATAGAAAAAAAGATAAAAAAAAAAAAGCTGTTTTATCATTTGTATTAAGGATGCAACTGTCACAGTGATTATCGATGCTATCATAGACCGATGCAATGGTCTTAGCCAGAGCATTGCACTGATCTAGACATGCAAATATACAATAACGGCAAAGGCATGATAAAACTACGATTATCTTAGATTCATTTCAACTTTTTCGGTTGGTGAAAGTGTATTTCAAGAAAACAATTGAGTTTTATAAAGCATGACCAAACCGCGAGAACTCATTCTTTTTCGAACTCGAAAATTTCGACAAACCTCGTATAGATTCATATTGCATTAAATTAAGTTGAAAGAAAAAATATCGAAAAAACAAAGATTCTGAATCAGCGAGATGAAGATACTTTATAGCATACAAAAAGTGTAACAGACGTATAAGTACACCAACAAGAGATAATAGTGTATGAAAGGTTTTTAAGAACAACACTAGCAACAAGAAAATGTTTCTTTACATGGATGAGTATGTGTCCGTGTGAAATATGCATGCGAATATCAGTCTTCTCTTTATACTCATCCTTGAATCTATACTCAAACTCCACACCCTACCCTGAACAGAATCACTTACTGACATGTGGAAGATTTTCGACATTTTTTCTTTCAATCGAATTGACATGTGTCATAGATTCAGATTCCTCAACCCCGAAAATCTCAAGTCTATTCATACAAAATTCAGCTATTTTCTTGAAATAATCTCTCTGATCGAGAAAATCGAAATCAATCCCAGATCGCCATCATTTTAATATGTATTCACCGTTCGTTAGTCCTATACATATATTTTTAGACTAGTGCACCGTCACTGTCGCATTCCGAATTAGTATAGCAAGAGAATACTTAATAATTGTTTACTTATGATACTATTCAAAATATTTTTCTTTTTCTAAAACAAATAATTGTCGAAAAGATAAAGCACACATAACGGGCGAGCTGAAATTTTTGAGACAAAATGTTTGTTTTTGTTTTTGATTTCTTGAAAGTGTTTCTAAGGAGTCTAAATCTATGGATTAGGACTAGCATATTGTGCACTTATGGAATACGGGCTTGGAAATTTTATCTTAGTTTTTTGTTCGAGCGAGTATTGAGATCATCTTTAACAGGCTTAAAAATGAGTCTGAACGGAAATTATGAGTCGACATTCTTGGTGCAAATGTTTGTTCAATTTGGTGTGCTTGAAAGTACCTCAGACAAGCCAAAAACTATGAATGATTATCAGAATTTTGTGCTCTCTTTGAATATGGCCTCAGAAATATTGTGTCTATTTTTGCTCGTGACTAGGGAAAGGATTTTTTAAAGGTCAAAAAAAAAGAATAGGTTGAATGGCGAACCAATAGGCTTTTGATAATCCTTATAAGTTTCATTTCGACTGTGATAAAAATTATCAGAGTATATCATATTGTTATTGAGTGAACACTTCTTTATAAAATGTTATATTGAACTAAGCTTTGGCTTTTACTTAAGTAAAATTATACGCACTTTGTCAAGAGCTTGTTTCAATACATAACGCCCTTTGGTGAAAAAGTTGATTTTTTAAAAACGAGCGTTTAAAAGAAACGAAATTTTAAGTGGCCTTTAGAAAAACTCCAATAGTACATTTTGTAGGGTAGCTTCTTATCTACAAGTTGAGAGATTAATAAAGATTTCCACATTTACATTTCTAGTCGCAATAATGAAAGTACGAAAGTGTGTACAGAAAAATTTTCTATTCAAACTATTTTATTGGACTTTTCAAAGATCATCTCATTAGTCTCAACAAACAATTTCAGAGAAAACTTCTAAGCCTAAACTCCGAACGAGCATAAAATTCTTATCATAACCCATAACTTTTGACTCCTCGAAGATAGTTTCAAGGTAGTCAAGAATAAATAAACTTTTTGCCTCAAAACTTTTGTCAAATACGTTGGAATATTTTTTAATTATAGAAACTGGGATAGAATATAGAATAGCATTTCAGTTAACACTGGGAATTGAATCTTGATGAATGTGTATTCTACAGGGTATAATAGAAATGAAAAAGTGACATAGTTAATAAAAGACCTATAAAAAAGTACTTTTACTTGTTCCAATAATGGCCTATCAATTTGTCCTACATCTGGTCCTACTCATCTAATCCTTTTCTTTTAACAGCGCTAAGATATTTTCTTGTTGAATTGAACCATGTAATCTTTATTTTGAAATTAAAATAAATAATGAAGATATCCCATAAAGAAATATCATAACGTTAGTCTCTCTCTCTCTCTCAATGGAACGCAATAAGGAATTTAATATATCAATTCCGTGCATATTAAATAAGTATCCTGTCAATAATTTTGGTTCATACAGTCTATTGTCTCTCCTAAATTTCCGTTCGTAAATTCTTATTAATAATTTAATATACAAATTACAAATAACTGTAAATTCTCATTAGTATTACTTGATGCGTGAAAAAAAATACTCAATGATAAATAAAAAAACCAAGTCTGTACACATTGAAACCATACATAAAAATACTTGACTCATTTCATGCATTCAACATTTTAATCGAAATTCTTCTAATAGTTTTCCTGTTATATGTAAGGAACAATGTGATGCTTATTCTCGAAAGTTACTGTTAAATTTCCAATTCGTTTTTTCTTTGTAAAAGAAAATTGGCAAATTCTCTTATTCTTGGCTGTCTGATTCAGAATTCTAAATTTTCCTACAATGATTGAATATCATTCATCTAAATATTGATATTCTCCTTATTCTATGTCATATGTCAAGACCCAATAAAATAAACAACATCAATCATTTTCTAGTCATAAGAAATCAATTTTTCATTATACTAAACGACTTATTTTTATCTACTTCATTCATAAAAAATTGCTCTAATCAGAGATATACTTTGTTCTATGTGTGATTTTTTTTTTACAGCTATTAGCTAATTGCTTGTTTGCATTCGATTGATGCGTGTTGTTGTTTTCTTATTAGGTGGCACCTTGAAACAGGATTCCTTTCATTAAAAAAAGATGATAAATAATGTGTTAAAAATAGAGAACACAAAGAAAACATTCATATCTATTTTGTCAGAAATCAACGATGGATCGAATATTTTTATTGCTTGTAGGTCTTCTGCTTTTAACTATTATTGATTTTAGTAAGTAGAAATGAATCAATAAAGTATTACTAATCTATATTTTATATGTAAACAGATTTGGCAATAAAACATCATCGAGATCGTGGTGGTCATAGAAATGATCAAGAAACCTTACTAGATAAACATGAACGTGAACGAGATAACAAAGATCGAAAACGTGATGATGATAAAAAAGGTAAATATTAGCAAACAATTATTAAAATATTTTTGTTTCCTTTTTTTTTTAAATAAATAGAAGAAAATCGAAATTTAACATGTTATAAATGTGATGGTGATCTATGTCGTGATCGATTTCGAGCAGATGAATCTATACCATTAGTACAATGTGAACATAGTTGTTGGGTATATATTATTGTATTAAAAAAAGAAAAAAAAATTCCTCTTTGTTTTTGTTTCTTTAATAGAAAGGTGTTTTTGCTTCAAGTGTTCGTCGATCATGTGGAAATAAACGTTGTACATTAACATTTCAAGGAAGTTCAGCATTAAGTAATACATGTTGTCAAACATCTTTTTGCAATAATATTCACATGAAAACACCATCGATTATGATTATACTTTTTTCATTTATTATTGTTACTGTGACAATCTAAATATCGGATTAGCCGAGAATAATTCTTTCTTTTTTTTTTTGCTTTGTCCTTTCTCATTAAAATACATTAAAAAGTAAAAACAAATATTTTTCTATAGATTTTTATCTTTAATGAAAAAATAATGTTCTTTCGTTTTTTTTTTCGTTTACAAAAAATCGGTCATTTACTTCATTTTTTCTTTCTTTCATTTGAATACTAGACCTTGTATTGTAAACGAAAAGAAAGAATACAAAAATAAAAAATGTTGTTAGACAATAATGAACAACAACAGCAACAACAATCATTAGATTCATTCCGCTGCACGTCAACGTAAGTCGGTCCATGTATAAAATTACTTTTATATAACACTAAAAGAAAAATCAAATCAGTAAAACAGTTGTCTCATTTCTTTCAAAATTTTCCTCTCAACATTTCAATTTATTGAGTAATGTGGTATGAAAGTATTTTTCAGTAAAAGGCATAAATTTAAATAGCTGTTCTCGTTATTCTTATCAGATAGTCTTTTTCTCAGTAGTCTAAAATTTTTCTTCGTCTTCTTCCTCTCTTTCTCATTAAATATAATTTTCCTTTTGTTTTATTTCATAATTTTTTTTCTTATTAATGCCTCTATTAGTTGTAATCGAAAAAGAAAATAATATCCGGAATGCCAAAATAAACTTATCATTACTATCGTTTTATTTTTATAGAGATTTAACGAATGTGTTGATTTCAAAAGATGAATATAGTGAAGTAATGGCAAATGTGACTAAAACTTTACATATGAATACACCAGAACAAACAATGTATGATATTTATATTGATAATAATAATGAAAGGAAATTATCAAATAAAAAACAATTAATTGAACAATTACAAGTACAACTAGTTCATAATCAAATACAACGAACACAACCAAGAGATTATGTACGTATATTAGGTCAATCGACAACACCTGCACAATGGTATAAAGCTCCTCCAACTGCTCGTTCTGTTTATTTTTATGATCCAAATTATCAAAAATATGCACAAAAATCATCAATTTTACCACAAAAACCAAAATCTAATGTTCATGTAAATTAGAAATAGTATACCTCAGGTACTTTTTATAATAGATCTCCTTCTTATTCTAGTTTATTTCTCCTCAAACAATTCGAATTCAAGAACGCTCAATGAATCATTCAAATTTTATTCAACATAATTCTTTTCCATTGACACCTCGTACAAAATATATGTTAGAATTATATAATACAGCTCTTAACTATCATCAACATAAACAACATTCAAATCAAAATTATCAATTAACATTATCAAATATACCTCCACCAAATCTTTCAATTGTATCTGGATCACAACTAATACCAACATTACCACCGATCAATACTTCGAAAGAACAACATGATGAATTATCAAATCCATCCATAAATAATAAAGAAGAAGAATACAAATTATTAAATAAAAATCAAAAACAAATATCAAATCATCAATCAATTAATGTTGAATCAAGAAAGAAAAATTTCCCTATTGTTATGCCCCCCATTTCATAATGAATATAATAATGATCGATAATGAAAAGTGTGCAATAAAATTAATATTTATTTTATGTACTATCTTCTATTATATATCTTATTTGTTTTGCTTGTGAATATATGTAAAAATATTTAAAAGAAAAACAATTAATTGAGTCAATGATAGAAAATTCAGGTTTTTACATGTTGATGTTAGTTTAGTATACGAAAAGCTAATGTCGGATTTTTTTTAAAGTGTTAACGACCATTTTCTGAATAACTTTTGATTACTTTGAGTTATCGAGCTGTGGTTTTCACCATTCAAAAGAGCAAGCCGGGGGCTACAAAATCCTACTGATTTTGAATGGTCAAGCAATTGACCAACCAGGAGAACTTTTGCTGGACAGTTTGTGAGCTGCCTCGTGCTACTAATTTTCGTTCAATTTGAACTTTCAATGATATTAATCGATAGAGAAAATTGTTCTCTTTCGATCTACGCAAGGCCGAGCTCACGATGTCATTTTGTTCTGGAGTTATAAGCATTTTCCCAAGAGCTCCGAAATCAGCCAAATGATCTTCCATTAGGCTAAAATGGTTCTATATAGGGGTAACTTGCCACGCTGAGTCGAATGGTGATATTTGTTTTCCGTTTCATAGCTTTCTGAAGTTACCATATCAATATTCTCGAAATTTCAGCAATTTGCTGATGTATAGCGTGTAAAGAGGTTTTTTCGAGAATGTTGATATAGTAACTTCAGAAAGCTATGAAACGGAAAACAAATATCACCATTCGACTCAGCGTGGCAAGTTACCCCTATATAGAACCATTTTAGCCTAATGGAAGATCATTTGGCTGATTTCGGAGCTCTTGGGAAAATGCTTATAACTCCAGAACAAAATGACATCGTGAGCTCGGCCTTGCGTAGATCGAAAGAGAACAATTTTCTCTATCGATTAATATCATTGAAAGTTCAAATTGAACGAAAATTAGTAGCACGAGGCAGCTCACAAACTGTCCAGCAAAAGTTCTCCTGGTTGGTCAATTGCTTGACCATTCAAAATCAGTAGGATTTTGTAGCCCCCGGCTTGCTCTTTTGAATGGTGAAAACCACAGCTCGATAACTCAAAGTAATCAAAAGTTATTCAGAAAATGGTCGTTAACACTTTAAAAAAAATCCGACATTAGTCTATTTTGACTGCTGCATAGACTCTAGAAATGAAGAAGAAAAAAGAAAATACAAAATAAAAAGCTTACGACACTCGGTATTCCCAGGCGGTCACCCATCCAAGTACTAACCGAGCCCGACGTTGCTTAACTTCAGTGATCGGACGAGAACTGGTGTATTCAACGTGGTATGGCCGTAAGCGTATATTAGTAGAGTTTTTATACATTTTATAGTATCTATATATCTCTTTTAAAACAATCATTTTTAGTTTACTTTGGATCGTTAATACATTTTACATATTGATAAATTTAGTGGAAGTATCAGATTATCATCTATTGGATTAACATTTACACCAATGCATTTCACATATGTGATCAATTCATTGATTATAGATCATGTTGAACAAGCATCCTTGTTTTTCTATAATTGAAGTGACAAAACGATTCTATGCTGTTCGATCAGACAACATAATAGGTCCATTAATTCTCGTGTCGTATTTTTTCATGCATACATTCAACACAAACCATCACATGGCATCCTACTATCATATTCTTTAATTTGTAACTGATTAATTAGTCATCAACTGCATGTAGAAAACCATTGACAAGATGGAAATAAAAATTTATTTTCTAAAACATAAAGCACATGTCGAGTTATAGTAGTCGCTGAAATATCTATTGTTTTTGTTTCAAATCGTTGTAACATCATTAAATCAATAGATGCACTTTGTAGACGATTTATAAAGTAAAATCGATCATATGAGTTAACCTCACTATAAACAATAGCACTTTGTGACACTAAAAGCTGATTATCTGTACTAAAAATAAAACAAAAAACATATAATGGTTTTGGTGTCTGTTTAGCATCAATAGATGTGTCATTATAACATTGAATATTGATCGAATACGAAGTGAAAAAATAAGTTCAAAATAAAATGACCTATATTGAATCATGACTGATGATCTATTTCATTTGTATTTAAAAAAAAGCTGATAAAAAAAGTGTTTTTACGCATCGTTGCTTTTACCTTTTTTACATCGAATAAATAAACTTTATTTACTCAAGGATATTCTGTCGATTAACATTTACAATATATGTTAAGCAGACTTAGTATGATTTATTCTTTCTTCTTGAATTTGCATTCAATTCACAGTTAGATTTCATATTGAATCTAATCAACCTGTCTCATTGTCACTTGTCTTTGTCATAAACACGAATAAAAAGAGAAAAGGCAAAAGTAAATTTGCATTTTTTTAATCTATTTTCTTTACAGAAATTACTTTTGTGTGAAATATATGTACATATACATATACATATTCATAGACAAAAGAACATACTGCTGTCAATTGCATCATTTTGTCGCGTCGCATAATTACTTATTGTACACCTATATGTATATATGGATGTAAATCAACAATAGAGAAAAGGCGATGCATAGAAATAATGTAAAATGAAACCAACCGTGATTTGGTATTTATACTACATTACATTCATACATATATACATGATCATCATCTGATCATAATAATACTTCTTCGATGTTCAATTTCAGTGTGAATAAATAACACGGCGATCGACAAATTTATGTTGTCTATACATATGTATATAGAAAAATGATCGATGTTTATATTAGATTTATACGAAAGGGCGAGAATTAGATTGAGAATTATTGAGTTTATGTGAATAATTTAAATTGTTAAAAATCGATCGATTGTCGGTTGACTAATTTTCAATGCATCTAAATTGTCTCAAGTGGATATAAGATGTCCATTCTTCATCATCAGCAACAAACATTTTTGCTTTTATGCATGCCAGTTTAATTATAGTGATTTGTGACACATTCAATTTCTTTTTTTTCTCATCTTTATTCTATGAATATTTCAATAAGACAGATCAGGATCTGGAACAAAAAATTTTCAAGAATCTTCATCCAAATAATACGGATGCATGCATGCACTATTGACAGATGATTTTCTTTGTCTGCCTTCTATTCTTCAGGCTTTTTTCTTCTTCCTTCTTTTTTAAAGCACGCTATTACTATCATCATATAAAACAACGCAACAACAATGGGCATGAAGCACCATCATATACGTAGTGTAATAGAAGAGATGTGAAGTACAAGGAAAAGAAGAAGAGCAAGAGAGGGAGAGAAAGAAAAAACGATAAAGGAAAATAGCAGCAGCTGATCGCGAGCGCACATAGAGCGCATTTTTTTCAGGACGTGAGCATTGCGTAGGCACAGTTTTTTATGAGACGAACGTCAGACGAAGAATGTTGTTTTTTTGCGTTTCAAATGCTCAAGCAATCTTCTTCTCGTTCTAACAACAGAAGCAGAAATACAACTAGTCGACAAGATTTGACTATCGTCAACAACAGCAAGACGAAGAACAACAACAATATTGACGACATCTAAGCAGAAAAAAAAAGAAAAAGGCGAAGCTATAAGAAATAGAATAACGCTTTCTAATTATTTCTTCTTTTTTTTTACTTGCTTACCTATCTTATTATCAACTTCGCGCCAAACATTATCCTCATCTATTTGTTCATATTCAATTTATTCTCACACAACACGTACGACTTTATATAACAAGTAAATTTTGTTCTGACTTTTTTTTGTTTTTTTCGATAAGAACTAAATAATATTCGTTAATTTAAATTTACGATAAAATTTAATACTTATCTTTTTCACCTATGTCTGATCTATTGATTGTCCGCAAACGAATTCTAACAAGGTCAAGCGTTTTCGAACATAGCTCTCCGTCTATCTTTTCTTTTGAGAAGTTGTACTCATTTCATCACCAATTCAATAAGAGCATGGCACTCGAAAAAAAACGCAGAGCAAGACGGCAGTAAGCAATCAACACAAAGCTATATACAATTCCTTATGATGTTTCAATCAGTTCTATTGAACAACTATTCTATACAAGAGAAAAAGATTTATTTTGACCTTGATCAAATTGAAACTATCTGGAGACGGAAAGACTACATTCCACCGTATAGACATGCATAACTTCATTAGTAGTATTTAATACTAACAGAATCATCCAAACGCGGCAGTGGGAATGAGTATAATAGTTTGGTTTGTATCGAGTTCTGCGTGAACCCTTATTCTCCCTTGTGTCATATACATGAAAAAAAAAAAGAAGTTGTTCGAGGAGGTAAAAACACGAGCGAGACAGTATAGAAAAAGAGACAAAAGAAGAAAAGTAGTAGAACGAGAGAGAAGAGAAAGAGAGCCATGCAAATACACACACACGGGGACAGTGTCAATCCTATTCTGCCGTTTGCTAGCTTGCGCGGCGTCACTACCACTATTTTGCCGACGTCGTCTTCGTCTTCTCTCTGATCATGAGCGCTTATGCATGTGCCTACATATAGTCACCAGAAGTTTTCAACATCTTTATTTCTTAGACGAATAATAATAACAAAGAATTGCCGGAAGCGAGCGCGTCATCAGAGTTCCTCGATTCTAAAAAAAGAAGCACAACCGATTTTTATTCTCCATAAATTACTTTTTTTACATATATAGACATTGTATTAAACCGTCAGCAAAAATCAATAGTTAATTGGCTAATCAGCTAACTAGAAAAAAAAATTAAATGACGCAAATCATCGTCCGAGATGTCCTATGACGACAAGCGGAAATTCAAGATGAACCATAATCTATAGAAAAAAGAAATGTTCGTCATTGTCCTATGAGAAAGAATTAGCTCGTTGTTATAGGGTTGCATAGAAAGAAAAAGAAAAAACTCATGGAAAATGTTAAAGAACAAAATTAGCGTAGTATTGTGGCAAAATCAAGGTTAGTATTTATCCTTCATGAACGTCTCATCTTCGTTCTTTTTTATCAATCTGTCTAACTGTTGTTTCCGGTCAATTTGTCTCCTGAGGAGTTAGAAAAGAAAAAGAATACAGAACCACTTGAAGCGTCAAACAAATGTCATTTCGGTCATCACATCAAAGCATGCTTAGAACTATTATGTAATAAATTTCAATACACATACACATACACATATGTGTACGTTCATGCAAAACGTTTGACGCAAATATTTGACTTTTGTTGAAGCTATTGTTATAGTAACAGCAAGTCCTTGATTTGTTAGATTCTTAAATAGCAAAAAAGAAGAAAATTTCTTTTTCTTTTTCTTTTTTCAATAGAATTTTGTTCGTAATCATATTTTGACGACACTTCACAATAAGATCTGTCGTCTTATTTCTCTAAATTGAATTTATTATTAAATCATCGTGGTGGCAACCTGTTGGACATTTCTTTCTACCGTAAGTTATTTTCTATATTTATGCTTAATTACATTCATGTTAATGACGTTCATTGAGAACAAAAACAGAGACACAGATAAATATCTTCGTCTCGACAGTGATATATCTCTCTGTTTGTCCTTCTACTTCGTTGATAGATCAAGACTTTTTTCTTCTTGTTTGTTGGTCTCATGAAAATTTTGAGTAAATGTTGTGTATGTATGTAGTTTTTCTCTGTATCATGGACTATCTAAACGACAGTGTCCTTCAGTTTGTATATATAAATACATACAGACGAAGTAGTAATCAATATGCTTAGAGATGTCGACCTTTCGATATAGAAAAGTTTTCTTTTTTAATTGTACAGTCAAAGTTATGATTACAAGTGTTTTATACTTGTTGTAAGAGTTATGCAAGCTATTCATCATTATCGGATTAGAGAGAGAGAGAGAGAGAGAGAGAGATTGGAACAACGTAAGGGAACACAGCAAATATATATATCTAATAAGTTTTGCGTGCACTGTATTGACGAACACACATCTGTATTTATTCAATTGCGCAAGGAGTACAAATATAGATCAGCTATGTCGTTTGATAGAAAAAAAGAACATGACTCGGATACGCTCAATGAATTTTTTTCTTTCTTCCCCCTTTTTGTTTCACTTATATGAACTTCACTGATCGATTGAATCGATGCACTTTGTGATATATGTATATGGTCATCAAAATTCAAGTTGTTTATTATGGGTGTAGATTGAGTATGATGAGAGACCACGAGTAGAGTAGACAAGAAGATAAGTGCTTGTGTCTCGTCTTCAACTTTTCATGTTACCTTAGATAAGTACATACAAGAACATGAATAGTTATTATTTTTATGTACCTAATGACGAGACTTACAAAAGTGTTGTCATGAAAAGTGAAAAGGTCGATTGACCTTAGATCGACCCATTTTTCATCGACGCATTTAATTTCCATAAACTCTTGTTCTATTGAGAATTCTTTGCTTGTTTCTCTCATTAGGTCTTACAATAGCTTGGTAAAGAAAATGAGAATCGAGACGAGAAATATGCAACCAAAAGAATAAATCAATAATAGAAAAACACACGTGGCATCTGTCACTTATGTTTCTTTGATGACGTTTATAAGTTGATGTGGTCGGTTCTCTTGTTTTTTTATTGCTGTCTATGTCAGTCAATATATAGAATAATGAATTTCTTATTTTAACTTTAATTATTTCCTTCTCATTTTCATATAGGTCCGCCAAAAGATGGTTAAAAATAGTCATCATGGCGGTTCAAAAACGCTTGGCAAATTATTTCAACTATATTTGCCAGCTAAAACTCATCGGACTTATTCTTGTCTTCATTGCCGAGCTCAATTGGCTAATCATGATGAATTAATTTCTAAAGTAATTATACAAAGAAATAATACTCAAAAAGAAGAATTCTTCAAATTTTTTTTTCTTATTTTAGTCATTTCAAGGTAGTCAAGGTCGAGCATATCTATTTAATTCTGTGTATGTTATCTGTATTTATTGATTAAATATTTTAATGTATTCTGTTTTCTTCTTTATATTAGTGTTAATGTAAATACAAGTGCTGCTGAAGAACGTGTTCTACTAACTGGTTTACATGAAGTAGCTGATATTTATTGTGAATGTTGTAAAACTTTGCTTGGTTGGAAATATGTAAGTATATAAATTTTTATATTTTCTCAAGAAAAAAAATTCTTTCTCTTTTGTTTTTGTGTTTCTTAATATAGGAACATGCATTTGAATCCAGTCAAAAATATAAAGAAGGCAAATATATTATTGAACTTGTACATATGATTAAAGATAATGGATGGGATGATGAAAATGTTGATCATTCAGAATATTTAAGAAAATAACAAAAAAACACTAATTACTCTATTGACCCGCGTGCAAAAAAACAGTGATGTTAACAGGTTTTGTTTTGTTTTCTTTCTTTTCTTCTTGCTTTTTTTTCTGTTTAAACGAAAATTCAATTTATTATTTAAAAAATCAATGCTTCTGTGCGTTTTTTCGTCTTCTATTCCTATTTGTCTAGTCATATTTCCATAATCTAGCTATCAATTGTTGTTTTCTTTAAATTAGTATTATTATGATTGACAAGTAGCAAAAAAAACAAAAAGGGTAAAATAATCTCTTCAATTAACAATAAATTGTGCCATTTTCTTCTGTTTATTTTTATTAATTAATATTCTTAATTTCTTTTATTGTATATAATTTGTTGTCTCAAGTTTTCTTTTTCTCATTATGATTACTTTTCTTGTATATTACGCTTATGTATATTTATATGTATCAGATACCTGAACCTCTTTTCGTTTTAAACATATTCTATGATTATTTTTTGCTCTAGAAATATCTTGAGCTTCTAGTTTTCTTTTTTGGTTCTTTTGTTCTCTAATTAATGTCATTATTGACAAAAGAAATATAGAGTGACTATAATGACCGTGTGAGAAAAAATTTCTTTTTCTTATCTATAACAGTATTACGGAAAATGATATGTGCTACAATTTGATTAAGTAATCATTGATAAGAAAGATTTGTATGTTGTTGTTTGATATGAGCAAAAAAAAACGTAGATTTTATAGGTCATGCTTTTATGACATAGATTACCATATGTAAATAAAACACTTATATATTAGCCTGGGAAATTGATAAAAAAAAGTACGTGTGAAGGACAAATTATAATGAAAAAATGATAAGTTATAGCCAATCTCTATTGAACTAAATAGATATTTGAAGAAATTTTGTAAGATTGTTTAAATCAATTCTAGAAAATAAATCGGTTTTACGTTATCGAAGGATCCAATTACCAACTGTCTCTTTCTAAATAATCTTAAATTATAAAAATGATTTGTAAAAATTTTTATGTCTAATGTAAATCTTCTTAGAAAAAACTAAACATTATTACTCGCCCTAATATTTCAATATGTCTAATGATATAATTGATATAGTTTCCGATTTCACATTTTATTTCCATATTTCCGGATATCGGAAACGAAACTATAAATAATATTAAAACTATGCACATATTTGTTAAAAACGATGATAAGTAATCATTATAATAATAATTGATAGTAATAATACAGTTTAGTATAGTTTTATAATCGATCTGGAACTTTCCACTTGTTTGTTTTTACTAACGAGGAATTGTTGCCTAATATTAAATTGCTTTTCAGTCGAGCTATGTGAATCATGTATGTACTAATGAACCATAAATACTCTGAAAAGAGCTCAGACTAATAGCTTATTACTGTCGAGATACTGTGTTTTTTAGCAGAACGACGCGACCCCTTTCAGGAACATCAAGAAAATGAAGTTTCCAGTTTTGACATGAAACTTAGCATAGAGACAAGTCTTAATGCGGATAGTTTAGTGTGAGAGTTTCAGATCTTTTGATTGCTTCTACCTTAAGATATTGCTATGATAAAAGCATGTTTTTCACGCCATTCATATACAATGGCAAATTCTAATGTTTTTTTTCAGAATAAACGCAAGTAAAAAATATGAAACTTTCACAACAAGCTATTCGTATTAAAATCTGTCTCTATGCAAATTTTTGGAGTCGAAATTCACAACTTAATTTTTCAGGTCTTCCGAAGGAGACCACCGCATTCTGATAAAAAAAAATCTAGTATAGAAGCAGAAATAAGCTATTAGATCAAACTCTTCAGAATATTTATAGGTCATTAGAACCTAGATGGATGCATATAGTTCCAATTCAACAACGATTTTATTCTTAGAAACCTTTCCTCGTACGTACGATCATCATCAGCACTACTGATGATGACCGTACTTAACAAACAGATCGAAAATTCCAGATTAATTGGACAATTATATAAAACTGCATTATCATTATTAATTATTGTAAGAAAAAAAAACGAAAATAATTAGATGGAAATATTATTTAACATTGATCAATTGATATATCGAGAGTTTTCTGTCACAAACTGAATTTGATCACTATTATTTATTTATTTTAATTTATGCAACAAACTAATATGCCGAAGTTTCTATTAAAGCATTCAAAAATTTTACTCTTCACGAAAGATAATAGAATTCAATGGTTTCTTCCTTTCGGCAATCATTTCGATTATTGCCGACACAACAATTAACAACAATCGAGCTGATAGTGTTCTTGAATGGAGTTTACAAAGAAATATAATTTTCATCATATAACTAATATCCTGAATCGATTGGTGTTTGTTCTGTAAAGAAGCTTTGTAACCTATCGATTGAAAATTCATATTTCTTATCGTTTATTCTATTTTAGACACTTTTTTCCATTTTCTCTAGATGGAGTAAGTATCCAAATAAGAAAATACAGCTTCCCATTGTCTTTATTTTTTCAAAAACTAAAACACGACTGGCTTGTTTCAACTGCTTATACTTATTTTTCTTCATGCTTCTACTATTACTAGTACCAAATATTCCCCTAAAAACATGGAACCGATTTTCAAGGACACGTTCTTCGTCATCTCTTCTTGATATTATCATTTTTTTTGCGTATATTACTAAGAATGATTCTATCAAAAATATTACAAATATCATCATGCTTTGTTAGCTATCATTCTACACAAACTATGTGAATTCATTAATTTTGTTTTTGTTTTTATATCAAAATCATGAAAATAATATTTTCAAAAAATTAAATTGAAAAAATTAAGCTTTTAATTTTCAAAAAAAATATAATTTAATATTAATATTAAAAAACAGTTGTCTTTTGAACTCTTTTATGATTATAAATCATGCTAATTCTTCCATCATTAGTAAAGGATAAGATTCCCTTAGAAGCATTCAAATCTTCGTTTCTGTTTTCAAATAGTTTTATAATCTACTACTATGTTAATAGAAAAAAACAATTAATTTTTAGAAAATACATTAATTTTTATTCTTTCTTGAAGATGAATTTTTTTTTATATTATCCATTTCGCTTTGTCTCATATCGTTTATCGATAGGTTCTCAAATCCGAAAAGTGGCGTCTGTTACTAAAACGATATCAAATCGTTATGAAGTTCGAAAAATGAAAACTTTCTTTTTGTATTTGTTATCTTTCTTATATTTTAGGAAGCGATTTCAACGTTAAATGCTTTACAAACAAATCAATCATCATTAAGATCAGTTGATCAACGTGAAAAATCAATGCACAATATTCTACGTTATTTATCATTTCTGAACGTTCAGGTGACCGAACGATAAAAACTGAGGCAACAGCGTTGTAAGTGTGAACAAATCTAATATTGTTCGTATGCATGATACTCTGTATGCCTCGAATCAATCAGTTGAACTTCTTTTTTTCTTCATTCATATATTTTATTAATTATTATATTTTAATTGATATTTATAGTTAGATCAAATCGATAAACTTAACATAATACATGTAGCAGGTACAAAAGGCAAAGGATCAACATGTGCATTTACGGAATCAATTTTACGACAATATGGTTATAGAACGGGATTTTTCAGGTAGAGAATAATTTCAAGTTATAATATCTTTTTTTTTGTGTTTTTCGAAATAAATAAAATTTTAGTTCGCCACATTTAATTGAAGCACGTGAACGTATTCGGATTAATGGGGAATTATTATCAAAAGAAAAATTTGTTGAGTATTTTTGGCAATGTTATAATGTTATTCATAATGGTGTTCAAAAATCAACTGATGAAGTAATTTGATTTATGATACATTTTGGATGTTGATGTATCGGCAAAATGTTCGACCAGTACAATGACAGTGATAGACTATTACTGATTTACTTTCTCCTCAACGATAGAAGAATAGAAGAGAAAAAAAATACACTAATTATAGAAAGCTAATGATGATTTCTTCGATATGAAAATTTTACTCTTTCCGAGGTGTGTGACGTCCGTCTACTTCTGAAGCTCGTCTACACAATATCTCTTTTCCCTAGTACTTAAATCCCTCTGCACCCACACAGTGGGCATTCAGGTGGACATTAGGTGAAAAAACAAAAGTAAACTTTACTTCAAGACATGCTCGATCTAGTGGCATACAAGATTTTCTTGCGAATGCTAAGTAAAATGAAAAATCTACCAATGAAAACTTTGCTTGAAAACACGCCTACCGTTCAAAAAAATCAAGTTTTTGCGTAAAAATCAACTGATAAGTAGATAAACACCGTACATATTTAGAACTGGCTCAGTGACCTCCATCAACTCATAAAAATAGAATTTTTGTAGAAATTTTTCGAATTTCTCAGCTTACGAAACTCGTTTCTGAGTGTCAAATGGCTTTTGAGTCGAATCGGACTAATATTTTCTTGTTGTCAAGATACTGCATTTTTATTAGAATGCCATGATCGCCCTCAAAACCACCAGAAAAACAGAGTTTCGAGTTTTCAATTGAAACTTTCAATAGGAACAGGTCTTAATGAGAATAGTTTATTGAAAACATCTCAGATCTTTTAATTACTCCTATCTTAAAATACGACTATGGTAAAAGCATGTTTTTCACGTCTCTTATATACAACGGCTAATGTCTATGTTTTTATTTTAGAATAGGCGCAATCGAAAAATCTGAAACTTTCAAAATAAGCTATTCTCGTTATGGCTTGCCTCTATGCAAAGTCTCAAGTGAAATATTGAAACTGAAATTTTTTTTTTGGTATTTCTGAGGGAGACCATGGCATTCTACTAAAAATATAGTATCTTGGCAACAAGAAGATATTGAGTCCGATTCGACTCAAAAATCATTTGGTACTCAGAAACGTTCCTTCGTTAGTAAAATGAGTACGCCATGTATAGGCATAATCCAGATTCACTCAAACTTTTTCGAAGTATTCGTCTATCTAAGCTCTGTTAATACAGTTAGTACAAACGGTCCTGGACTTGAATATGAATTATTCAGAATCAGCAGACAAAACTACATTGGATAGCGAACGGCACAAGACGTTTTCTAACTGAAATGTTTTCTTCAAAAAAAATATAGGCAAGGGGGTCGTCTCAGGTCTTTTTTCGCCTGGAAATTCTTTCTTTTTTGATAAAATACTTTATTTCCTTAAAATTAATTTTTTTTTAATCATATGCAATCACTTTTGAGCAAAAGAAAGCCGTTTCCGAGTGCTGATTTACGCTTATGTTCTTTTGTTTTGTTTTTTTTTGAATTTTGATAATGTCTAGCAATGGGTGATAAAATATCGCATGTTTCTACTGATTAGGAATCAGTTGTGTTTCTCATAGAAATCTGATTCTTCTGTTACTTTAAAACAATAAAGAGAGATGATTTTCTATTATTTGGTTTTTTCCTTCTTTAGAACCCGGTTCCAATGCCATATTATTTTTCTTTTCTAACAACAATGATGTTCTACGTTTTTGTTCATGAACAGGTTTGAAAGAATAAAATTTTCTACAAATAACCTTGAATCATTTTAAAAGATCGATGTTGCTATTATCGAAGTAGGCATTGGTGGAGAATACGATTGTACAAATATTATCAAGTTTGTTATTCTATGTTTTATTTTCATTTTCGATATTGTATTATTTATATATGTAGAACTCCCATTGTATGCGGTGTAACATCATTAGGTTTAGATCACATTAAATTATTGGGTAATACAATTGAACAAATTGCATGGCAAAAAGCTGGAATATTTAAAGAAGGTGTTCCAGCTGTTACTGTACCACAAGTATCAGAAGCTATGCGTGTTTTAAACGAAAGAGCTGAAGAGAAACATGTAAGAAAATAAAATAGAAAATCGTTAAAATTCAAATTATTATTTTTTTTTTAGTGTTCATTAAAAATTGCATCTCGATTAAATTATTACCGAAATTATCCATTTCAACTTTCACTTGCTGGAGATGTACAAGAAATTAATGCTTCATTAGCAATAGAATTAGTTTTTCATTGGTTACATGCTCGAGAAGGTTAATACATAATCAATATTTTGTTATTCTTTAAAATGTAGTATTATGATTTTACTTAGGACAATCATATGATGAACTTAAAGATGCACTATTAGATAAAAAAATTCTTCAAGGTTTAGCAACATGTCGTTGGTCTGGTCGTAATGAAATAGTTGACACAACGAGTGCAACATATTATCTTGATGGTGCACAGTATGTTAGATTTATTTATTTTTTGTGTCAACTTAGTTTTTCTCTATTTATTGATTAGTACTATTGAATCAATAGAACAATGTCAAAATTGGTTTACTAATTCAATATCAAAACAAAATACATCAGAAAGACTTATTCTTTTATTTTATTGTTCAAATGATCGACAACCAGATGTATTACTTCAACCTTTAATGGTAAAATTCAAATTTTTTCCTTTTTTTCTTTTGATTATTTTATTGAATATATATATATATATATGTAGAAATGTAAATTCGAGTCTGTTGCTTTTTGTTCACCGATTACATCACCAGCAATTATTAATAATAATTCTCAAACGGATACAAAACCTGGCAATGGTAATGAAATATGGGTTTTTTATTCGATATTTTATTTCTTATTATAGATCAATGGCGAGCAACAGCAAATATTATTAGTGAAATAGGTCGTCTTTCATTACATGTAGCTGCATTTGAAAAACTTTGGTTATCAACTATAGAAAATCAAACAACAATACCATCGATACATTGTTTTCATACCGTATCACAAGCATTGGCATGGATTGATGATAGTAAATCATCAAAACCATCTGTTCTAGTTACCGGTAGTCTTTATTTAGTCGGCGCAGTTTTGAAATTACTTGATAAAAATGATGGCAATATGTGAAAAAAGTTTTCACAATAAATCTGTGATTTTTTTTTTCTATTTGATATTTCAAAATAAAATCAGGTCCCAGTTATGAAAAATATTTACTTTGAATTTCAGAAATTTCTTGAACAAAATATATGAGGTATTCTATTGGTATTAATATCGGCGAGCCACTGAATGCTTTTGTATCTATTTGGTAATGATAAACATGGAGCACACAAGATGACATTGAATAAGATAAAGTTGATCACTCAATAATTTGATCGTAAAAAATAGTATTGAAAATCGTATTACTCCAAGTCGATTGTTCCTTACTAACTACAACAAAAGATAAATTTTTTAATTGAAATTTTTCCTTTTTCTCATGATCCTGAGAGACAGAAGTGCTTCTAGGATTCGGGATTAGAAGGAATTATGCGTTTTTGTTTTTTGGAATCTGTAAACACCAAAAGAATAAGCAACGGAATCGTACTGAAAAAAAACGAAAATTTTTCAAGATTCGAAGGGAGATCACCGCTAGTAGTGGAGTCGGAAGGAATTTGTAGGAGTTTTAGTCCGATTGTAAAGCTGAAAAATAGGTATTTTCTTCGTTCATAACACGGAATCATCTCGTTTCTAAAGGAAGTTCAAAGGTATTCGAAGGAAACTTTGTCACCATTCCTGGCTCCATCGTTATTAATTCCCTCGACTTCCTCGCTCGATACGCTTCTGACGAGAGCTATCTTCGAATTCCGTTTGTTCCACTGAATGGAAGTAAACAAGAAAGAGAGTTGTTCTGAACTGTCCTTAGCTGTGAAGTCATCCGAAAACTGAATATTACGAGTATATCGCTAATATTTTTCATCTATGATTACTTATAATCAAATAATAAACGAAATAAATATGATTAGTTCGATAGTATATTCTCAAAATTGTATTTCGTTTATGAATGAATGAGAGAATTTTATTTTATAGAGGTCGTAAGAGATCAGTATTAAATGAACAGCATGATTGGTTATTAATTTCTTTTTTTTTCATTGGTTATCTGAAATAAAACACATTATAACAACCAATAAAAAACTTTCGTTCATGTCTTTTTTTCATCGTTTCGTCTGTTCAACATGTGACGTCGATTTTAAAGAAGCATCTTTCTTATTTTTCTTGATTTTTACCTATTCATTTTTGTGCAAAGAAAACCAAGTAGAATAAAATCAAGAAGGCCATATAGCGACCAACTAAAATAAACAAAATACAAACTTAGTCATCAAACGACCAACCAAAAAAAAATTATTGTCTATTTTAGATATAAACATCACTGATATAAGATGCAGGTGGAATCTATACCTGCATCAACTCCATTACCTGAAGCACCACTACCACAACCAGTAGCGCCTTCTTCGGAACCATCAGAAACTACTAATGCACCATTACCTCCAGTATCCGACGACGCTGAACAACCAACCTTTCATATCATGCAACCTCCACCGCCTGCAATTCTTGCGTCGAATGAAATAGCGATTGCACCTGCACCAACAACTTATACCCAATTAATAGCCGTACCAATAGCTTCAGATCAAACGATAACTCCTACTACTCCAACAGCAACAACTATCAAACAGACAAAACGAGTTTGTATCATTTTTCTTCGTATAAAATTCAAGTAGAAAAATTTTTTTTTTTTGCTTTTAGGGTTCTCGATCTTCTCATAATAATAAACAAATAAGTCGATCACCAGCTAAACCAGCAACATTACTTGCGCGACCAAGTACTGGAAAAACATCAACTATTTTACCTCAACCGCAAAAAGCTGTTTTACTCGGTAACCAGATGGGTAAGTCATTTCAATAGATGTATTTATATTTTCTCTTCTTGCGTTTAGCACCACTTATTCCAAAACCTGTGCCAACAACAAGTAATTTATATAGTCAGTAAAAAAATAACAAAACTTATTTTTTTTTTTTTTTTTTTCGTTTTTATTTAGATGTTCCAATTGTAAAACCGTCTACAACTAATCAATCTCACGGATTTACTACTTATTTAGTTGTTGATGGAAATCAAGGTCAAGTAAGTCAAAAGTTTTTTCTCATTTATTCAATTAAAGAAAAACAAAATTGTTTTTTTTTAGCTTGTGCAAGTTGCTAATGACGGTCAAAAACCTGTTACATTTCGTAATCAAGCTGGTCAGATTCTTCAAGCAACACCTATAACTGTTGTCTCAGCCGCTAATCAACCTGTTATACCAACATTTCAAACTAATGGAGATTCCTCTATATGTAAGTTATTTTTTTTACAACAAAATTCTACTTCCTTTCTTTAAAAAAAACGAAAATGCTATCATTCATCTATTTTTTTTCCTCTTTAGTATCCAATTCTCCGCAAATAAATAGTTTTCAGCAACAACAACAACAGCAACCTGCTGTTACTCCTCTTGCAACACAACAGGTAACAAAATGAAATTTTCTCTGTCATGTAACAACATGATTCTTTTAATAGTCACATCAAAATTCTTCACAAACAGTAACTACTGTTCGCACAAGTTCAACAATTGATATGCAACGAAGTAATACTTTTCCATTGTTATCAAAAAGATTTTATAATACCTTTTTTTTTCCAGCTACTTTAACAAGTGATACAACAACGATGACGACACAACAATTAACAGGTATTACACAATTACCTGCAACAGCATCTTTAATAAATGGTAAATAGATGAAAAAAAAAATTATTTCTATTCACTATATTTTAAATATAGGTTGTAACATTGTCACACATCAACCATCACTTCTACAACCAAATCCATTAATTCCAACATCGATATTAAATGGAAATACTGTACAATCACATGGAAGAGATTTATCACCAGTGCATAATGAGAATGATTCATCATTAGATGATACATTTGGTGAGTAAAAATAGAAAAAAATAACAATTAAATTTATTTATATGAATAGGTTTAGATGGTTCAACAACACCTGATCCTGGTCTTTCTCTTACACTTTCACAAATAGCACGTAAAGCTAATCATCGTCATCGACGTTCAAGCAGGTAAATTAAAATTTAATCAATAGATTTTATTTTTATTAGTTGAATTATATTAGTTCAAGTTTATCAAAAAAGAAGCGTGGACGACCAAGGTAAAATTTTTGACATTGTTTTGAAATTAATTTTTTTTTGTCTTTATTTTGTTTAGATTATATGAACGTGATCCATTTACTAATAAACCAATAAAAAGTCGTCCAATGCCTGAAGGTACAGAATTAACAATGCCAAATGTAACAGCAACTACAACAACATTATTAATACCTGGACAAACAACAACAACGACAACATTTAATAATTTACATCCACATACAAATGGTGCTACATCATTAATTTTTCCAAGTCAACCAATTAATCATACAGTAAGTTTTTTTTTCTCAGAAAAGTTGATCTCGATATGTTCATATTTTATCATGAAGTAAGATTGAAATTAAACATCTGTTCACATATTTTGATTTCTAGTTTCATATGCATCAATGAGAAAAAGTGAATTTCATCGAACTTACAGATCTCGTGACAACGATTGTTGATATTCTTTAAAGATGAAAGGAGGGCTGAAAACTCGGAAGGAAATTCGAAGACTTGGAGTGCTACAAGCAGTGAGCATAGGGGAGAGAGAACGAAATCCACGATGAGTTGATCTCTTCTACGATAGATGACTTACCCTGTCCTCGCGCCAATTCTATCCATCTCGCAACAACATTTTTGTTTATTGTTATTTCATTTTCTACCAGAGGAAGACAAATGGTGTTTCAAAATCTGGTTTTGATCTAAAGTTACCACGAAGCTGTAAAAAAATGACAGAGAGTAGAACATGCTTGGGAGAAAGCAATGGATTAAACTTTGAAGAAAATCTTAAAATTTCATATTATCATATATATTCAGTCGGCAGTCAACCTAGAAGTTTGCTAAGGATATACTCGTATTTTTATTTGTTTGATCGATGACGAGCATGTATTTCAGTAATCTTTTGAATAAAGATCTAATTAATGTTTCGTAAAATAATTCGTTTATTAATTGAATCTTCAACTATAATCTTTAGCTACAGTTGTGATAACTTTTTTCTCGTGGTTCTGGTCCACATATCTATATTCTTGACGGTATCTATCAGAGAGTTGTACGGTCTTCCAAATCCAACCAAGTCGAGTTCGAGCATCTAAAAAACGTGCGTACTCAGCACTCTGATAACTACAGCTGAATAGGATAATATTAATTTCGTAAATCGATATTTTGTCACTGAATTCTAGATTCAACATTCTTCATTTTCCTTTAATCTTCGTGTCTGTGCCTCATTTTAATCTATTATATTGACTATAACAATTGATTTTCTTTTCTAAAATTTATAGACAACAATTCCTGTTAATAACCCTTCATTATTGCAACAGCAACAACAACAACAACAGCAACATCAATATTCTTATCCATCTTTGCTCAATGGCAGTGCATCGTCAACGAACATGCTTGCTGCACCAACTTTAAATATTTTCTCCGTTAACAATAATAATAATAACAATACTAGTTCATGCACATCATCATATCCTTATACATCTCAACCAACAACAATTCTTCCTCCACCACCATCAACCAACACTATTTCTCGTTCATTCATTCCACCAATAACTCAAACTATTGAAAATCAAGCAACAATTCCATTAAAAAATTTACAAATTTCATCAACATCATCGCCAATAACAAGCTCTCCTCGTTCATCAACTGTAGCTTCATCATCATCAACAACAGTACCTAATGTTGTTCAATTAAATCCTTCACCAATAAAATCTCTTAATCAATCTCAAAATAATGATATTGTTGTTCATTATATTGGTGGTTTTGTTATACGTGAAAGTAGTCATCCATTTCCAACGGATGATAATAATGATGATTCAAAAGAATTAAATAATTCACATGGAAAAGAAAAAGAAAATCATAGTTTTAATGATAATAGTAGTGACCTTGGTTCTGATCAACTTCGATGTATTTTATGTAAAAAAGTTGATTTTTCAGAACGATTTTATAATCAAGAAAAAAAATTTTGTTCTAAATCATGTTCAACAAAATCATCTAAAATAATGAAAACAACAAATGGAAAAAATCTTGATCATATAAAAACACCACCAATAAATGAACCAATAAGAATGATTGAAAATTCAATTCCACAACAATCAATTGAAACAAATATTGATGAACCAATATCATTACCACCTGATCATGGTTTACCAGCTGATCCAAGTAAATGGACAGTATTTCAAGTTGGTGAATTCATTGCACGTTTAACAAATAATACTATTCGTGAAGCTTTTTATGAAAGTGAAATGGATGGTCAAGCATTATTGTTAATGACACAAGAACATTTACGAGATACGATGAAAATAAAATTAGGTCCTTCATTAATAATATCAAGTGAAATAGCTAAATTACGGGAACGTGCACGAACATTTTCATCGTAATTTATTGATTTAATTTTGTTTGTTTTTCTTTTTTTCTTTTGCTTTGTTTTTTCTTTTGCATTTTGTATACATTCATTTGTTTGGAATTCGAACATGCAGATATGATCTTGTTTTTTTTTTTTGGTGCAAAATAGATTAGATTATTATTATTATGTTTCTATGTATATATATTCACTTGAATGGGGTTTTCTAAATGTTGTTATTATTGTTGTTTTATGTACAAATAAACTGAAACATATGTTTAAAAAAGAAGTTTAGATTTTATGATAGAATAGAATTTTAAAATCTTGAAAAAACTCATTTGTTTAGGAATTAAATTTGTATTTTATCATTAAATGAATAGAAGTGTATTACTATATTTGTATAATCATATCCTTTTGAAAGATATTTTATCGAACAAAAAACTCTATTCTTTTACAGGAACACTGTTTTATAGAGCACGTACGATGGATTCTTGAATTCGATCCAGACGTTATTTTTATCGATTGTAATGTGTATATCTATATTTGTATTGCTTATCGACACAATCACTATGATTACAGTTTTCTCTCCTTTTTTCGTTTTATTCTTCTTTAGTAAAGCGCATATTTGTTGAAGAAGAGACTCATACTCACACCAATTTTTCACTAGTGTATAAATTATTTCCTGTTCTGCATGAATAGTCAAAGATTGTACATGTAATATTGTTCTATTAGGTTTACAATTAATCGATTCTCAAGAAATAAAATCTACGACAATAGAATGTCCCAAATATTTCGTATATAAACAAATTTGATGTTGTTTGCTCGTTAAAATCTTCACAAGTATTTTCGAAATTGGTTTTCCATGATAATTATCATGTTTTAAGATATTAATATGATAATGTACAGATTTTGGATATATACAATATGGATGATTATTTGTAGGCATAATTCGACCATAACATGACGAATTTTCTCCAATTTGCACATCAACAAATATTGAATAAGATGAATGAAATTATAGAACATATTTATCAATGAATGGTTTATAAACTAAATAATCATTACATGTTGAATGAGTCAAACACATACAACAATTTGTACCTTAAAGATTAATTTTTTTTCTATAAAAATATATTTATTGAAATAAAAACAAGTTTCCCCAAATCAAGTTGATGACACTAGCAAATATTTTTCGACTTTTTGTGCTAACTTTTTACTCTTTTTTTTTTTTGTTTGTTATGTAGTTAGAGGTGGTTCTTTTTTAAAAAGTTCATGTTTTACAGCTTTTAAACTATTTTCAACTTGCTGTGTGACATTTCCTTGCGTTGTAGCTTCATAAACATCAATTTGAAACATGATCATCTTTATTAACAACGATATAACTTTTTGATTCTTATACAACTTGAATATCATCATTAAATGATGGATAATGATGATGATTGGACCGTTGTTGACGGCACTTTCAAACAATCACTCAATATCATGGTGTATCAAAGTAACAAATCTATACACAATGTTCACATCAACGTGTATATTTAATAGCATTTTTAAACTTAATTTACTTGTATCATGTAACTTCAGGTGGTCTTTTCCGGTTCTTTAAATTCTAACCTTGTTGACAAGACATATTTAGAGAAATGAAAGTAAATACAGACAAATAGTGGATTCGAACATAAACAAAGGAATTTTTCTTTCCATTCATTTTCTAGAACACAATGATTTGTTTATTTTTACTTCTAAATATAAGTATATCATTTTGATTTATTTTTTAAAAATAAATGAACATTCCAATCCTTGAAATGATAACATCCATGAAATTTTGATACTTCTTTTGGGAAATATACAGTGAAAAAACGCTGATAAGTTCAAATCAAGCCTTCAAACAATTCCATATATCCTGAAAAGTTTTTCAAACCTTTTGCTGATCATTTGAACTTGTCACATATTTTCATATTTTTATTTTTAATAAATAGCAAATAACATTAACTAAAGACAATCATAAATCGTCGTTTGAAATAATTCTCATTAAAATATTCGCTGATCGATGGAAAAAGTTTGTCCTTTAGAGGAAAAGTTGATTTTACAAAAATGGTATTTTACGATTCATCAAGAGGGTATGACGTGCAGGTGTAGATACGAATAGGAAGCGTCACAATGCTCACACTTACACGTACCCACACCACAGGTATGTAACCAAATATTTTCTAAAGGGACCATGAATATAGATAAAAAGAAGTTTTCACTAGATGAAAAGAATATGCCCATACCATCGTTCAGAGAAATTTTCTTCTGAGAGGAGGACATCTAAAGCTACTTCAGCCCTTCTCTATCCTATGTTTCTGCGACTATATCAATGAGACTCGATGGAAATTTCACAGCTTTTGCTGAAAGTTTCCTCTTTATTCTCTTTCTCAACCAATGTTTCTCAAGTAAAGTTTGAACGTTATTCAACACTTTAGCACAAAATCAAAAATCTGAAAACTAAAAATATGTTACTGCATGCAACTCTCTTTGAAAGAAAACAAGCATGATTCTATTGAATGAATAAGATAAATGTATTGAACACTTTTTAGTGTAAGTTAGTTTTTTTTTATTCATGTTTGATTCAAAAATTCATTGCGTATTTCATGATTATTTTCAATAATTTTTATTGCTACATGTCCACTAATAAATATCAGATCATCACATAATCGATTTAAATAATCATACATTTGTTTACCATTTGATACAGCTGACCATGCACACATTCCTGCTGTTAATAGTGCACCAACAACAATTAAACTAACAGACAAACCACGAACAGTGTGTACTGCACCGATTCCAGCAGCTCTAAGACCATCGTCCGACATTGAAGCACCAACAGTAGCAATACCTGTTGCAGTCTTAACAGCAACTGAAGATGCGTTTGTCACTTTATTTTCACTTGAAACACCACTAATTTTAAACGTATTTTTTAAAGCTGATGTTTTAAAATCCGATTCATCGATTTCGATCTGGAATTCTTTTAAATAGTCTTGAAATTCATCTGTTTTACCAGTCCACCATTTCATAAAATATGAAAAAGTATTAACACCAAACTTTTGACGGATTTGTTCACGTGCAAAATATCTTGGAACTAAATCCAAGAATGGCACAATAGCAGTAAAACCAGCCAAAATTTTATATTTCATTACATTCAAAGCATAACCACGACGGAAACAGATATTAATAACTCGAGCTGTTGCAGACATAGCCATTTGTTGTAAGCGATTTTCATGAAAACTTATAGGTAAATTTGAAATATCATTAATTAATGTTTCAAGATCAAATTGTGCATATGTTAGTATGGATGAATTTTGATTATGTGTATCATTTTCACTTGAAACAAACGTAAGATATACATCAGATAATTTGTTTCCTTTGTTGTCTGAGATAGCAAGTTCTCGAACTCGTTGCATTACTTTCTCCGCATATTTTCTTCTTGTCATTTCATCGCATGAATAAAAATCTTGACCAACATCTTGTTTAAATGTTCTTATAAACAGTTCGTCTACTTTACTTCGTACAATCCAACACGTACGATTCAAATTATTTACAATATATTGTTGCCACTGACGATGGGCATCTGTAAAATTGTGATCAAAAACAATAATATACAAATCACAATCTGCTTTTTTAATTTGATCAAAATAATTTCCCGATTTGACATATAAATCGCTATCAGTTGATCCTTCAATATCAACAAATATTACTTTCTTATCATTATCATATTGATGTTCAAATTCCAATTGACAATATGTTGTTTTATAAACACCGATGGGTGAAGAGAGTATTATGTTTGGAAGGTCTTTTGATTGAAAATTAGTGGTATAATCGTCTTGAATTCTTCTTAGTGCAAGTCCCAAAGAAGTCTTTCCTGCACTTGTTTCACCAATCAATCCTATCCTACATGGTACACTTGGAATAATATTTCGACCGAGATCGTTTTCAAGTGATCTAAAAACATCAATAATTTTCGGTTCAAATTGGTCGTTTGAAAGCAATGTATTTTCCCATTGATTCATTTTTTCATTCAATGATGGAAAGAATTTTTTCAATTCCAATTGTTGAATTTGATATAATAGTAATTCACATATTTCAACAAAACTTTCACATTTTCGAGCTTTATCATGATTACCATTTAGTTCATATAAATAGATTATAAAGTAACGATTCAACTCATCATCATTGTGTGCTGAAATCAGTTTATCTACGTCGCGTTTAATTCTTTTCAAGTTGTTAATAAATGTACTCGCACGTGCTATGAGTAATTGGACAGTTTCAGAAATAGAATAATCATTATTCATCTTTCCATTTAATGTTTGTATTAATGATTGAACATGAATTATTCGACTAGAAATATCATTTGAAAGTGCTCCTGGCATAATGTTTGTTGCTGATAATAAATCGGTACCGTATTTTACAGCATATTTCTGCCACAGTAAATTTAATAATAATTCATTCACTTTTGCATCATTTACAGATGAATTTTGGCAATATAAACAATAGAATTGTGCCTTATTCGTGCTATTACAAGTTTTTATTGATTGTACGCATTTACTACAATATTGATAACTACAATCTTCTACTGGACATTCACACGGCAATTGATCAGGTGTAATACCAAATGGACTAATACATGCACAACATGTATCCCATATCTTGAAAATAGAAGACATTTAATACAAAAAAATTGAACGATAAAAGTATATCCGTTAGAACAATGCGCAACACTTTAGATGTGACTTTTGTGCATTAAAAAGAAATATTTTCTAAGTACGATATTATAAGAATGGAAAATTAACGTAACGAACAAGGAAAATCATAGCAGTTTATGAGAGAACCACTCCAAGTGATACCTACTGCTTGAGTTCCTGTTTGGTTCACAAATAGGTCTTAGTGAGACTAGCAAAAACCTAAGAGAGTTCGTCCCTATGATCCTGTGAGCCTAATTTAGATTTTGTCCATGGATAGACGTAATCACCCTTAGAGTATCTTGAAAGTTTCACTCGAATTCCACGCCTATCCACACACTTCTGATGTATAATCCATCGTTAGTTTCATTCTTCTCGCGAAGATATATATTCCATTCGACTTAGTTTTCCAATTTTAATGTGACAGACAATAAGATGAAAGCAACTAATGTTTTACATTATCACATAAATTTTAACAATATATTTCAGTTTTACCAAGGATCTATACGAATTAATGACGAATGTTTTTGTCTCTTTTTCGAGTACCACTGTGTGATCAATATGAACTCTAACTATTCATGAATACGGAGACCATTAGAAGAAAAGCGCATTTTTTCTGTACTCTGCTCTTTATATTTAGTTTCTTTGTACTTTTAGTGTATTCATATTGCAATAAAGGTATATTTATTTCGCATCATGAATGAAGATTGACAGTCAATACGTAATTGAAACGATTAAAATGGTAAAAAATTTCAAAAATATTGATTAGAAAACTTAATTTCAATTGATCGATCGAATCAAAATTTGATTGAAAACAATCACATTCTATAAATAAACTAATTATCTATGAATATGTTGTTCGTTCGTTTCTACTGGTATATCAAACTATCATTTTGTATTCGAACAAAAAAAAATAATTCATTTCATTGTTTTACATACACGTTTAACATATAGTCGAAACCAACGTCCATTATTCTTGGGAATCACATTTATGTCTGCTAGTACTTCTTCTATACCAGTTGTTTCACTTTTATATGTTAATATGAATGGAACATAAATTTCTTTTACATTTGTTTGAACCAAATATTTTCTATACTTTTCCAATATTTGTGCTTCTAATTTTTCAATTGATTGATAATTATCAATAAATTTCTCTTTGTGTCCCAAACAAATAGCTTGAATTCGATGCATTTTGCACTATATAATAAAATCAAAAACCATGTTTACTAAATACTTATTGAAATAATATTTGTGGTATTCAAGAAGAGCATACCTTTTGGCAGTTTTGAATGACTAAAACGAGTTCAAGTTAACGTTTCAATGTTCAGAGTAATAATATTCTTCAACGATTGTTCTCATGTTTCATTGTAAAGTATATTTTGTCTTGCATGTGTCATGTTGTTTCGATTCTTCTGGGTTTTTTCCTCGCCCATTTTCTTTCTTTCTTTCTTTCAATATTTACGCAGTGAGTAGTACAGAACAGCAACACATGTTGGAGAGTAGTGATGAGAAAGCAGAAATGATGTCAAAAGAAATAAAAAAAAAACATTACTTTTTTGTCTTCATTTTTTGATACTTTTTTCTACCCTCTTACCGATTTTCCCCTTGCTCAGAGTGTGGGCGTGGGCCTTCTTGTCACCTAAACCATCAATGTTTTGAACTTTTATGGTAATCAACTTAGTGAATATATTCTCATCCGTTACCTACACTGCCATGTCTAATTCAACTGTAAATTCATAACTCAGACGCTGCAACCATTAATTTAGGCGTTTGGGTATAAAAGAAAATATAACTAGAATATCAACGTAACGAATGATAACAAGACCGCCTGTTCCGTTAATAGTGGAAGATGGCAGCTGAGAAAGTGCTTTTGTAGTGTATGAATCTAAAATGAGACTTTTTAATCGTCTTTAGAAGGGTGTGGGTTTGGGGACAGAAGACCAGTGCCCAAATTCCCATTCACACCCTCAAACATATTGATACATAGTTTGTTTGTTGAAAAGACTTTATTTAGGTTTTATTTTTTCCTTCGAAGAATTCCTCGTCTACTGGATTTCTGCTATCAATCGAAAGTAAGAAGTTGGATTTTTCTGTGAACACATCCACGCATGCGAATGCAAATTAATATTGGGAAGTAGGAAGAAGAGAAGCTTTGTTACTGAAATTATACAAAGGTAGCAGTGGTGAAAGTTTTTTTTGTTCTTCATTCATTTCGTATCTCATCTATTTCTCGATTAAATGTCTAAAAAATGATGTCTCGGAAGTTATTTAACCATGAATTTATATTCAATATTGGATTTTTTTATTTTTACATTATACTATCTTGATTCAATTGTTATTTGATAGGATTATTTGCAATTGATCAACAGTTTTCTAAACATAGCGATTTTCTCTATCAAAACATCTGATTTTTGTAAATCTAAGAATAATGAAAAGTAAATTAAACATGAAATAAATTCTTGATATAGTTATTCTATATATATATTTTTTCATTTTTACTATTATAGTAGCAAGATTATACATGTATAATAAAAATAAATAAAACAAACATCATATTGAAATGCTAGAATACATAATTTCTCTTATTATTATGTTTTTTTTAATATATTGTCTTAATTTAATGAAGTCGACGATGTTGCTCGAATAATTTCACAATAATCATCTGTTAAATTATGTTTTGCAGGTCCGTTAATAGTCTAGAAAGTATACAAAAATATTTATCAATTGCTAGCAAACAAAAAGAAAAATCTTTTTTTTTTTTGTTCTTTACTTTGCCATATCTATCAAAACGCGATCCATGAAATGGACAATCAAACGTTTTTTCTAATGGATTATAACGAACCATGGCTTTCATATGTGGACATATTGCCGAGAATTTATAAAGAGTTCCATCAATTTCCCTATATGCGGCTAATTTATGTAAACCTTCACGGAAAATGCAACCCTAACAAAAAAAAAGAAATCAACTAATGATTTGATTATTTTATTTTTTTGTTTTGTTTTACTGACTTCTCCAGGTTTTAAATCTTCAATATCTGTCGGACCACTGCCAGGAGTAAGATAATCGAAGAAAGCTGCACTTGCTTCAAGATTATGTTTAATATATCCAAATGGATTTTTAATCATCTGACGACTAGGATCATAAATTTTAGCATATGAATTATCATATCCAAACACAAGATCACGACAAACTAATGCTCCAATTGTTCCATTTGTTATACCAGTTCCTGAATCACCTGTTATTATATAAATATTTTTATTTCCTGGATTGAGACCATGAAATGGTAATGTATCAAGAGGTTCAGTAACTTGACCTGACCAACGATACCGTAATTTTCCTGCTACAGGAAATTTAGAACGAGCTACAGCTTCTAATGAAGCAAATGTCTCTTCATATGAAGATAGATTATGACCAACCTAGAAAAACATTTTTAAACGATATTAAATATAAATTAAGAATCAATACCAAATTATCTTTGCCACCAACAATTAACAATTCCTTGGATGAATTCGATTTATCGTCAGATGTTAAACGATAATAATTATATGGTTCATCAGTATCCCAATAAAGAGCTCGTTCAATGATACCTTTATCCACTTCAAACGCCTTTTTTTTTTTATAATAAAAAAACAAATTTATTCGAAAAAGAGTAAACAATAGAGATACACCACTTACCATAGCATATGTTCGACATTCTGCCATCTTCGTATACATTGTTACTCGATCATTAACGGGCACGTTTCTATTTTTTATACAAATATTATAATTTATAAATAGTATACATTTGATTAACTTACGTAGCTAAAACCATTTTTTTACAATCTACTCGTTTACCGTCTGATGTAACAACATAAACTTCTCCTGTACCATCATCTTTATTGTCATCATGAATTTCTAAAACATGACTATTTGTAAAAATCCGTACATTTTGAAATTTTTTCGTTAATATTTGACATAATGTACATAAATATTTTAAAGGATGAAATTGTCCTTGATTTGTAAAACGAAGCCAATGTGACGTTGGATAATTAGTTGGATATTTTGGTCTTTTTGATTCTGAATCAAGTAATTCAACATCCATACCAGCTTTCAATGATGCTGTAAATTCTTTGTCAATAACATCTTTTATATGACTTTCTTTTGCTGGTATTAAGTAGCCAGGTAATCGTTCAAATTCACAATCAATATTTTCTCTTTTAACAACATTTTCAATAAAATTAACAGCATCATTATTTGATCGACAAACAAGTCGTGCAACTTCATCACCAAACATATGTGCAATAACATAGTAATAATCATCATATTCAATTTGCAAATGAGCTGTTGTTCGACTTGTTTCACCTGAACATATTTCACCATCGTCAATTAAAATTATTTGTTTAGATGGATCATGTTCAGCAAGACAATATGCCGTTGTAATACCAGCTAAATTTATATCAACAATTTAAAGATTATTTTATTGAAAGAAAAATTCACATACAAATTCCAGCACCAACAACAAGAAAATCACACTTTTTATTATTCGTTAATTTAGGAAATTTAGGTCGTTCATATGAATCGAGCCAATAAGAAAGTGTACATCCAGATGAATAAGTTCCATCTTTACCATCGATGCGAGGCACCGAACCATCACTGCTTACTGAAAACATCAATTTTTTTATATTTATTTTAACTAATTAAATTGATAAAAAGAAACAAACTTGTAGACATAAATCTTCTTGATTTCACAAATGTAGTTGAGTAAAATCGCGAAGAGAAACTAGTAACTATTCGTTTAATTATTGTCGTGAGTTGAGATCCGTGCGTGCTACGACATAAAATATAATAGTATGCGCATGGAACTTTTACACTTTAGGACCCCAAATAATAAACTTTCTCACCCTTATCCGCACTTTTGTGCTTGTGTTGTGACCAATCAGATGCCTGGGATTCTAAAGTGTAAAAGAACCAAAAGGTCATACAGTCTATTAGTATGCAGGCAGAGAAAGAAAAACATTATCAGTTAAGCGAATCAATATCAAATGCATTACGGGTGGCGACCTCTTAACAAATTAATTAGGCCGAACTTTTGAGAAGTACCAGTCGGTAGAGAAAAATTTTCTCTATCGATCTACGTTTTTAGTTTTTCCCAGAAAAGTGTCCCTTCCGAGATATAATCGGAACAATCTGACCAATCAAAACACAGATCG